TAGTTTACCTGAACAGTTTAATTGAACTGTGAAGTTATCCCAAAATGTTAAAAATACAGTTTAGTTTCTAAAAGCTTTCAATTAAACTGGCTTAGCCATGAAAAGTAAGTAGAATTAGAGATTTCTTTCCTGGCACTTGAACTTGATTTTTCTGTAGTTTCTCTTACTAAGCAGCCAAGAGGATGACTCTCTTGTTTTAAAGCTTGACTACTCATTGAAAGCAGACAAAATTATGATACAACAAGCCAGCAGCTAGGGGTGAAGGTTACATCCTCTGAACCCCACCAATTGCAGGGGTTTCCACCTGCACCTTCCAACCCTTCTGCTTAGCCTTTCAGAAGGTATCCTGTGCACACCTACCACGCTGCCAAGATCTTTGCTGTGTGCATTCAAGAGAGAGCAGACAACTTCTGAGTAGTGTTCTGTGAGGGGGAAACTATGTGAATAAACCAAAAATTTCTGACACGTATGAGGGTAACTAATTTTCTTTTGGCGAGTTTCAAATGCGGTATTTAGAAGCAAGCCTGTAGCATTCCAAACATACCGAATGTTTCCCTAAACAAACTGTGGAGAATCCAGCTTGGAGACCTGTTTTCCAGCAACAGTGATGCAGGGCGTAGCTGTGCCATGCCTTAGACTGTCTGTACACCCCCTTGACATCCCATGTCCTAGGTGCACCGGGACTACCTGAACCTGGTTCTTCCATCTCCTGAGCACATTGCCTTCTAAAGAACGCTTTTCTGTGGGGACCTGGCAGTCCTGCTGTGACAAAATGGGAAGAAATCAGAAAATTTAGTTAAAATCCTGGGAAAACTTATTTGTGCTTACGAAAAAATCCTGGCTCGAGGGTTGAGTTGGCAGCTTCTAGAATATAAATGGCAGAGGTCCCCAAACAGCTTAGCTTAGAAAAAGCTGCTGCCATATGTGAGCACGTTGTATTGGGAAACGACTGGTTGTGGCTTAAGACCGAGCAGGAGGTCTGACCTGGATGGTTTTGGTGGAAGCTGATGCCTGCTTCAGGGAGCTCATGCAGAAGTGAATTACTGCTCGCTGTGTGAGCAGGGCTGGGTGTGCAGTGAGGGGAACTAATGCTGAAGGTTGCTTGGGGACTTCATGAAAAGAGAGGGCCAGGGATGGCTGTAACTTGGGAGCAATGAGTACTTTTCCCCTTGTTCACAGCATTCCCAGAGAGGATGTGTGGTTTGTCCATGGAAGACAGTTTATTTTCTTATCCATATTTAGTAGCTAGGTGTTTTTCAAAGTGCCCATTAAAAAGAAAGCAAAAAAAAAAAAACCCAAACCTTCTGACTGACATACTGCTAAAAGAGAAGAATCGCCTTTCCTGTCCTTACTGTACTTGTGAGAACTGCTGGCTATACTAAACATTGTCTTTGAGCACATCTCTGCTTAAATGTAATCCTCTCATAACCCTTCAGCCTAGGCTGTGGCACCTGAAATGGGTCTGAAGTGTCCTCCCACCGCATACTCGTGCTACTGGCAGCTTCTGCCTCGGTGTTTCTAGGATCCATTAAAGAAGCCAGCCTGTTCCTTAATGCTGTGTGGAAACGGGGAATCACTTTGATTCAGGTGAACCCATGACTTGTTAAGCTGTCTCTGATGAATGTGTGTGCTCTCCAGTGCGCTGCAGTTAACTTCTGGAGGTGGAGCCTTGAAGAAGGGTTGTTATGAAAGCTGCTTCCCCCTGAGCTGTAGGTCTGAAGAATGTGCTAAAACAACAGTCAACTTTCAGAGAATCGAATATCTGTCTGAATAGCTTCCCAACCACCAGCTCCCCTCTGGGAAGAAAGGATACCTTCTTATCTAGCCAGAATCTCTTTCATCTTCTAATTTTGCCAAGGAAAAGTCAAGGCTGAGAACGAGTTTTGTAACTTGGCTGAAGCCCGAGGGAGGATCCTGGCAGGCAGTACCTGTGCCCATTGTCTCCTAACAATTCTGAGGGGTTTATTGATGCTATCTTCCACTAAATGGTTTTTCTGCCTTTGTGTCTCCTTCAAATCCCACACTGAACTAAGTAAGCTTAGTGGGATGTTGCTGTAGGCGTAGCAGCAGCAATTTGCACATTCCTTGTGGAGCAGCCCTGTGCCTCTGACAGACGGGATCCCTCATAACCTGAGACTCAAGTGACTTGGTAGCTGAAAAGAGATGAGGAAACCATGTCTGACTTGAGGAGAAAGGAGAGGCACAGCACTGTGCTTTGGAGCCACCTATTAGTGCATCGAGAATAAGCAATAATTGGTTCCCCCAGAAGACATTCTCATCTTGGGTATCTCTAAGTTGGTTGTTCAGAGACCAGTGCTGGACCACTGGTTTCCATGTGCAGTCTTTGTGAGAGGAGAACACCTCTGGGCAAGGCAGCACACCTCAGGTGGCTCAGTGAATGCTGCTGTGATAATTGCATGCCCTCTTCCCTACCTCTGCTTCTGGCCACTGATATGTCACCTGGCAGGTCCTGTTCGAGGACAGGGAAGGCCACCTTTAAAAGGCACCTTGGCAGGACTTGCAGGGCTCTATACTAATGAGGCGTCATTAGACTGGAATGGGGAGGACAGACCTGTCTTGATCTAATCAGAAGGGCCATTTGCTGAAGATGGGGCATTGTTTTGTCAGAGGTGTGATTTGGTGTAGAGCAATGACTCTCAGAAGAAAGTAGCCAACTGCTGGCCTGGAGTATAGGCCAGATGCTGTCCCCTTCCCATTGAATATGGACTTAAAATCCACACAGCAGATCTGACTTGAGAGGAGGGGGCAGATGTACAGACTAGCTGTCTTGGCTGTCTTCACAGAGGAGCATTTTCTTTCCGTGGTCTAATTGTTGCTGAAGGAAGTCTAGCAGGTGAGTGGCAGCATTTTTGCTCTTTTCTTCATGGTAGGAGTTTGGTGAACAAAGCAGTGGCTCCTTGTCTGTGAAAGACAGGAGCAATCTGTAGGCTGTGCTACAGGCATAGAGTGGGATAGCTTCACTTCACTCCCTCTCCTTCCAGCTGAAGCAAGAAACAAAAGGGGCAGACACAGAGTTTGTTGTAGCATCAGCTCCAGACTTGCTGCATGGCAGTTTAAATGTCATCTTGAAATGACATTTCAAGGCGGGGGTGTATGCAGACAAAGAATTCTTTTTGGTGGAGACTAATTGACTTGAGCAATCCCTCCCTCTCCTTCCAGCTGAAGCAAGAAACAAAAGGGGCAGACACAGAGTTTGTTGTAGCATCAGCTCCAGACTTGCTGCATGGCAGTTTAAATGTCATCTTGAAATGACATTTCAAGGCGGGGGTGTATGCAGACAATTCTTTTTGGTGGAGACTAATTGACTTGAGCAATCCGATTTTAAAAGGTAGCCCTTTTGTGAAGTCAATAGGAACAAAGCAGTGACATGGAACTAAGGAAACTCTTTTCACTGGGATGATTTCCAGATCTAATGACAAATCTGTGTTCCCTCTGATAATGCAGCTTCTTTTTTCACCTGAGTGATTGGAAATGAGTTGGGACTGTTTGGGTCGTGTGTTTCTCTGGTCAGTGCTGGTGTGTTGTTGACCATCTCAGAAGTACTTATGGATCTGGAAGTGATACTGTCTTCCCTAGTAGTGGGAGCTCTAACCCAGGTCTCCCACTCCTTCTCACAGGGTATGAAAGAGTATAACACCTGACTCTGCACCTCTCAAATTTGTTTGGAAGTTATCAGCAATTTTGAATTTCTGTGGTAAACATGGTCAAAAACAAGTAATCCTCCTTCAGTATGAATATCCATTTAGCTGAAGAAGCTGTGGGTGGATGGGGTTTTCCTCAAAATGAAAACTACTCCTGTGGTCAAGTGTAAAGAAACATTAATATCTGCTTTTTTCCCCCCTCCCAGGAGCTTTAGATGTTTGTGTAACGAATAGCATGATAGAAGTGTTTAAAGGGTTTTTTTTGTGTGTTTTTTTTTTTGTTTGTGGGTTTTTTAGTTGTTGGGTTTGGGGAGGTGGTGGTATTTAACTCCATCACTCACCCAGCTGTCTTTCCCAATTGTCTCCTTCCTTCTTTGTAAAACCAGTACACACAGATTTTTTTAGTCCCAACTTTTTTTCCTGAGTATTTGAGTTATGCATGCTGTTGTTACTCATCTAGGTCCAAAGCTATCTGTGGAGGTCTTGCAGGCTATAAACCCTCGTAGGCTGGTGGGACATGCATTCTGCTAAGTCTTCTTCCTTTGTTAAAAATAGGACTTTGTGCTTTGTTCATTTCTTAACTGTGCTTCGTGTGTTTGTGTACGAGTCTGGTTTTGCTGTGACAGTGCCTCATAGGCTATGGCTGAATCCCTCAGTCCTCAGGTATGAGCAGTGTCACATCCTGCAGTTTTAATTGCTATGCTCTGTGCTGTCGGAACATTATACCTGAGGTTTGCAAGCTGTTCTACATTCCTCCTCCTAAGCGTGTGTTTGCCTGTCTGCTGGCTGGCTGTCAGGTTTTCTGGGCCTCTCCAGGTGGCTGAAGAGGCATTTGATTTATTTATCTGAGCTGTCTAATAGTCTGCTGCATCTTGGAGACCTTCTGAAAGGTGTGGGGAGGTGTAGGAAGGCTGGCTCTCTTGAAGTTATTTTGAAACACATTCTTCAGATGCTATATCCTCTGGGGTTGTCTTGAAAGGAAAAGCTAAAATTAATTGTAAGCTAGACAGTCTTCACACCTGAAATATTGGAAGGTGAGTGAAAAGTTCTGGTGTCCCCATAATGCAGCTTCTTTTAGTATTTCCTTTGCAGGATGTTTCCTTTTCTGTTCCTGTTACTTTATGAACTGTGAATTCCTGGTAAAATTCCTAAATGCTAGAACACGCAGAAGGTTGCTGTTGTTTGGTTTTGAATTTCCCCTTTTCTTTCCCTCCTCAGATGCTGTAGGGGTTTGGCTCAACACTTACTGTTTCTTTGTCTTTGTTTTTTGCAGACGGAGGTGCTCCAGATCAACCAGACCTTTTGGGAATTATTAGAAAAAGAAACTTTGGTTAAAAGATGTGCCATGGAATGGTACCACCAAAGAGCAACACAGGATCGTCTCTTGCCTTGACTAGTCATGGGTTATTTCTTCTGCTAGTTACCTTTGGTACCTTCATCTTGGAAGCACAGGCCACAGGTAAGTGAAACTATTACATGTGCTGCAGGGAGAGGGCAATGTCAAAGTATGGAGGTGGCCTTATGGTTTTATGGGGAAGCTGCTAATGTTTGGTGGGTATGTACATGTCTTCCAGTACTCACAGGAAAAATTTCATTGCTACTTGTTAGGCAGAGCGTAGTGTCTGAACTGAATGAGCCTTGCACCTTAGTCAAGAAGTGCTTGTCCTTTACTTATTTTGATACCCTCAGCTTTTATCTTGTCCATTCTCATTCCTTCGCTGCAGCCTGGAGGCACTTGGAGGGTCTCGAGCATGGACTGTGTTTTGGTTGAGTGAGGTTCTCATATAGACACTCTTACCTATATGCCCTGTAGCAACTGCTCATGTGAAGCAGTTCTGGAAGCACAGACTGTCTTCACCTCTTTGCACAGCTGATGAATCTGTTCAGTGTTTCATTGTGTACTATCTTCTGACATCTCAGCACCTGCTAACTCTTATTAGATCCTCTTTGAAACTGGAGTTTTTCCTTCTCCACTTTCTAACATCTTGATGTTTATCTAGTGGACAAGTGTTTTGAATAATGTAAATAGCAGTGCAATGGGATGATATGTCAAATGTCAGCAGAGATGAAGGGATCTTGCCTTTTAGAAACAAGTGGAAGAAGAAAGTATACTCGGAAGGTAATAAATGATGTGAAGTATGTGCTTGTTTACCCAGTATACCCTGAAATACATCTTTTCCCTCAGACCAGCCAGGATGTAGTTTCTGTAGAGACATGCTTGGCCTAAGTCCCATAGGGTGGAAGGAATAACTTTGTGTTCTCTTGCATAGAGCTTTGAAGGAAGTTAGTCCCAAAAAGGCACATAGATTTGACTTCAACAGCTGTTGCAATGTAGAGCAATAGCTTGCCTTTGGAAACAAAGCCTCAGTTCTCAACATAACTCTAAAAAGTCAGATTTGGTGTATCATGGTACCTGAAAATGTTCCCATAGGGTGGAAGGAATAACTTTGTGTTCTCTTGCATAGAGCTTTGAAGGAAGTTAGTCCCAAAAAGGCACATAGATTTGACTTCAACAGCTGTTGCAATGTAGAGCAATAGCTTGCCTTTGGAAACAAAACCTCAGTTCTCACGTAACTCTAAAAAGTCAGATTTATTTGGTGTATCATGGTACTTGAAAATGTCCCATGACCAATGCTCCTCAGTATTGGTGAAGATTGAATTGGCTTCTGTGTGGTAGAGAAGAATAAATGTCAGCTGTTAAATGCCCTCAAAGCTGAAGTCATCCTGTATGGAAAACTCTGCTGGTGCTGGGAACTGCTGGAGGAGGAGTTGAACTCTTTTTGGTGTCTCTTTGAGTTGGGAGAGGCTGCTGAAACCAAATACCCCAGACTTATGTGTCTTCCTGGCCTGATTTTTGCTTTGTGTGTAATGAGGAGTGGGGGGACACATAAGTGTGCCAAGCAGGCAACAATAGATAGCAGGTGCAGGAAGGGGACAAGGTCTTTTTGGATCGAGTCTGGTTTTTTTCCCCCGTCTTTTTGTTGGTGGCAATAGTGTCAGTGCCTCATTTCAGATGTAGGCCTGTCAGATTTGGCTCCCAGCCTGGGGCTGGAGAGCACCTTCCCCATCTGGAGCTGCATGACACTCTGCAGCACCTTCCACCGAGCCTGTCATCAGCGTGCAAACTCCTTGTGCTGCCCTGGGCTGCTGGAGGGGCAGAGGCAGCCACACTACTCACAAACCTTTTTTGGCATCTTTTCTGAGGTGTCCAGTCACGTTAACAAAAGCACTAGTTAAGCACGTCAGAAGACCCGAGGGTGGCTCTGTGTTATTTCCCTTTCTGTGTTCCTTTTCCTTCAGGACCTGCAACCAGCTGTGGTGAACTGATCAAGGGAGATGATCAGCTAAATAGGATTATGGTGGCTGGGGGAAGTGAGAAAGTGAGCGTGTGCCGAGGGGCGCCTGGGATCAGAGCAGGGAGCAAGACAGTGAGGGGAAAAAAAAATCCTAGCGGAGGGGAAGGGCTCACTGAGGGGTGCTTCCGAGACGGGGGGCAGCAACCCAAGTGCCCGTGGCTGGGAGGGGTGGGGGTGCTGGGCTGTGTGTCAGGCCGGAGAGCTGCACCTGCAGCAGCACACCAGCCCCGAGGGACGGGAAGGAGCGAGGCAGCCGCGGCGCCGACAGCCAGATGGAGCAACAAAGAACAGTGGCGGGGCGCTGGGAAAATCATCTTTCTCTCATCTTTGTCCCCCGACCACCCCGCCGCCCTCACTTTATTATTTTATGTAGCAAAATTATTCAGAGCAGGCAAGGCAAAGCGATGTTAACATGAGGCAAGAGATTGCATTAAATCTCTTGGTGGTAATGCTTATCTTGAATGCGGGGCCAACGTGACATGCTCACAATTGCTACAAAAGCTGAAGAATGTTCTCATAAAAAGACAGACAAGCATGGAGACAATGGCTGGCTCAGCTCGGAGTGAGAAAGCAGAGCTCTTGATTCGTATGTTTGAAACCATATGAAGTATATTTTATTGCAATAATTTTGCTCTTTAGAAATTCTATTGCTTGAGTTCCAGGCGGCTTAAAGATACATTCA